AAAAAAAAAAAAAAAAAAAAAGCCCCTGAGGTGTTAGGAGGCGCGCTAAGGCTTGAGAAGTATTGGCCTAGAACAAACACCATTATGTATTTGTGTAAACATCAGCAGAGTGCTGACACAAACTTAGCTAGTACACTCCACTTCACACCTGGGCTGCAGGGCACGGCCTATTGCTCCTAGGCCACGAAGCTGCACGTTTTGGGGTGTTTGTGTAACTGAACATAGAAAAGGCACAGCATAGCTAGACAAGAGGAACAGTTTTAGTGTTCTACAAGGGTAACCAACAGAATTTTTTTTTGTTAACAAATCCTGCCTCAGGTTTATTTGTACAAATAGCACAGGAGGACCCCAGCCCCATACAGACAGCAGCCTAGAGGTCACAGCAGTCCTTTTGTCCTCATGGCAGACAGATGCCTCTACTCTGGAGCCTCCGTGGGGGCCTGGGCATCTTTGGGAGCCTGAGCTGGAACTGAAGCTGGAGCTGCAGATGAAGCAGCAGATTGGGCCTTCGTTTGATCCTTGGCCTTGGCCTTTGGCTGGCAGAGCCTGAGACCCTTAGCAATGCATGCACGAGCACGCTTCCCAAGCTTGGGGTGGCCAATGTAGGCAAGTCGACTGAGTTTATGGTTGGCATCTTTGGAACCTTGGTCTTAACCTCCTTGGGCTTTACAAGGGCCTTGATAGCTTTAGCACATGCACTCACGGCCTTGGCATTGTTGGCCTGCATCTTCTTCAGGCCCTTCTTGTGCTTCTTGGCAAAGCGCATGTTCCTCAGGAACTTGGGATCTACCCCCTTAAGAGATTTATATCTTTGTGATCAGGGTTTCTTGATGCCATTTCTGTGCCACTTTCGGGACTGGTTGTATGTGGTGTGGTTCTTGGACTTGGCCATGTCTGCACTGTGACCTGCAACTCAAGAATTTGTACATTCTCAAATAGCTAGAAGAGTGGATTCTAGTGTTCTATAGGGTAACCAACAGAATTTGTACATTCTCAAATAGCTAGAAAAGTGGATTTTTAATGTTCCCAAGTGATGTTTGTGGTGACAAATTTGATAACGACCCTTATTTGATTATATTGTATACATGTAAAACTATACTCCATAAATTATGGCAATTACAAATCAAAGCCAAAAAAAAAGGTACAGCAAAAATACTGTATTATCTCATGGCTCTGCCATTGTGTATGCATTGTCATTTGCACGACTATAAGTTTTGATTACCTATTTGTAGAATGGAAATTTAGTACAATCCCATTTTATTTTTAACCTGTGAAACCAGGGGAAGAAAGTATGTAACTGCTTAGATTTTGTTGATCTGGGCAGTAAGCTTTGCCAATGGTATGAATGCGATGTGCAGCTGATTTCCAGGACGGACCTTGAATGACATTTAGTTTCCACCATATTACCTGATGCCCAAGGCCCCCCAAAATGAGAACACTTTTTTGCACTGAGTTTTAATTGGAAACACTTAAACACTTTAATGACTTACAATGAATTATAAAACTTTGTTAAAGTACACTACCTTTGATGACATTTATTTTTTAGTATTTATGTACACCTGAAAAAACAACATATTGTGTTCTCTGCAGCCTTCCTCCCCATTTCAGCAGATGATTATAAAGAGAGGATCTAAACTACTGGTAAGTCAAAACCCACCTGGGTTAGAAATGAAACACAGAGAACTGAATCTATACACAGCTGTGCTGTAAGAGCATAGGTGGTATTACCTCGTGTTTTGGGTATGAAGCAGTTTAGCTCACTCTCACAGGAAACTAAAGCAGGTGCTGATCATGAAAACACCAATTACTTTCGGCATGCCTCAAGTTTTTTCTCCCCTGGCTTCTTGTCTCCTATGCCTGAGTCTTGAACTGGTAACCAACAACTTTGGGAGGATGTTGGCGATAGATGGGCCAGAGAGGAAGTATCAGCAGACATAAAAAAAAAAGCAAATCCAGCCATAATTATATAGACCGTCCACCCAAATGGTTCATAGATAAATCTAACCATTGCAGAAGAAAAAAAAAAAAGAATTCTCTGAAACATCTGCTCAGCTAGCTTCTGGCCCCTGTAGTCTATCTGCATGGGCAGCAAGCACAGGTGCTCCAGCATAACCTGCTGAGGTGGACAGCAGAGTGCAGCCAGTAGGCTGTGGGTTGAGTGCAACTGAGCCTCAGTGACCACACAGGCTAGATCTGGTACTGTGTACGGCCTGGCAGGCCTACCAAGCCCAGGAGTGCAATCCTAACACTCTCAACACATATTGAGGCTGTCAGTGTAAATCTAATGCCAGTGTTGATGTCAGTGTTCCTACATGTTCATCACTTAGCGAAGTCATGGCCTCAAAGTGTGTACTTGTTCATTCCCCAACCCTGAAGGACTGTGGGCATACACCCCACCTCCTCACTGGCTCCTGCTAGGGTCTGCTGCTCCTCAAACCTATAAAACCTAACCCCGAGAACCTCCAGTACTCAAGAAAACTCTATTCCTACTACTGTAGTTTTAAGATACTTCTGAAAGTTTCTATCATTTCAACAACAGACAGAGCTTTGTACTGAACTGGCATTTTGCAACTTTGTTCTTAGTGTTGAAATCATGTCCAGGTATGAATAAACTGTCTCAAAAGATGGCTTGTTACTGACAATTATTACCATTTTAAGGAGTCACCTGGTCAACAACCAGCAGTCCAGCCAGACACGTTCTTTCATAAAGTGGAATCCCAGTCCCCTGGAGTCAGGGACACATGCATGGCTGTGTGCTCCCAGGGACCATGGTGGAAGACTAGGGGTCACCTCTGGACAAAGACTCTTAACAAGGTAAGTGCTCAGACCACCACATTATTATAGAAGCCATATGAGTGACAGAAACTTCCAGAAGACTGGGCCCTTAACTGGCTAGTCTCAAGCCAGGGTTGTCCTCTGATCTGGCTCATTCTGACCTTTTACTCTTTAACATATTATCCTTCTGATTGCTTATTTTGCTAAATCATTTGTGTATTTCACTGCAAAAATTTTAATAAAGTTTTAGATTGGTGCCTCACACCTGTAATCCCAGCACTCTGGGAGGCTATGGCAGGAGGATCACTTGGGGTCAGGAGTTTGAGACCAGCCTGAGAAAAATAAGACCCTGTCTCTACTAAAAATAAAAAAAAATTACCCACACATAGTGGTGCACATATGTAGTCCCAGCTACTCCGGAGGCCAAAGCGGGAGGATTGTTTGAGCCCAGGAGTGTGAGGTTATTGAGAGCTATGATTGAGCCACCTGCACTTCAGCCTGGGCAATAGAGAAAGACTCTGTCCCTTCCCCCCTCACCCCCCTGCCAAAATAAAGTTTCCAACTTTGCCATGAGAAGTATGAGGGTACCAGAGCACAGACTTTATCTGCAAAGTTGAGATGACACACAGCCAGCGAACATGCCAGCTTAGAGATGTCATTGCTTTACTTTCCACCTAAAAGAAAAGAGAATAGTTTTTCAGGTTTGTCTTGATTACCTGTTTCCACATCAGATATCTTACAGAAAAAATAAAGTGTTTCAGAAACCAACTAAGATATTCCTGTTTGATCAGACCTTGTGTTAGAATACAGCATTTGTAATTTGGAGTTCTAGCCCTGTATCCCCCGTCCTTATGAAAAACTAAGTCATTTATTATCTGCACTACAATGGCTTTTCAATATTCACTACTGTGACAAAGAGCTGCTGCACCAAACCTGATAGTAACTATATGCACATGTGCCATCTGGACTGATACCTGAGTTGCTGGGCCAGCCAACTGGAAGACAGGGTGTTTAAAGGTCCCGATGGCTTAGATTCAGCAGTTCTCACCAATGAGCCCCTACGGAGAGGTCAGATCGTTTCACTCAACCCCTTCATGTGCTTACCAAAGAAGCCCACAGAGGTGCATGCAGTTAAGCAGTTAACTCACAGCCTGGTTCAGATTTGGAGAAGGTAAGAAACAATCAAAGGCAAGTGGAAAGTAACATGTTTCCATTTTTATTCAACAGCAAATTTAGGCAGACATTTCTACTGATTTGACAAGAATACCAGGGTCAGGGGTTGAATTGTGCTCCCCTAACCCAAAGACATGCTGGAACCCTGACCCCCAGAACTTAGAATGTGACCTTATCTGGAGTCAGGGTTACAGAGATCAGAGGTTACCGGTGTGGACTACATGACTGGTGTTCTTATAAAGTCAGACACAGACAGATTCATGGGAGAACACATGCACAGGAAGGCAGATGGGGGTTATGTCTACAAGTCAAGAACATTAACGACTGCCAGCAAACCCCAAGTGACTGGAGGGAGGCATGGAGCAGATTCTGTCCCAGTCCCCAGTAGCCAACCTGCCAACACTGTGACCTTGGATTTGTGGTCTCGAGAACTGAGAATCAATTTCTGTTGTTTAAGCCACCCACTGCGCAGTACTTTACAGCAGCCATGGAACCTAATACAACCTTAATTTTATTATATTCACCCCAACTCTAACAGCAAATATCCAAGATCCAACAGTCAGTATGGAGCAAAGCTCAAGGCTGTTCCACCCCTGCCTTCGAGTGTACACTGGTTTTACTCATGTTACTGTGTTGTAAGCCAGTTCAGGTATAGCTAGGAGCCCCTTCTCATCCAGCTTTGCCGGAAGGGCGGCTTCCATGTCTGCAGTTGTGGTCCAGAGGATGTCTGTGCTGGATACAGAAATTGCCCTGACACTGGACACAGGCCATCTGCAGCATCTCTTTCTTCTTGCATCCCTCTTTTGAGCACTGGTATGTAAAAATCTGAGAAAGCAAAGTTACTTCAGTATGCAATTCTTTAAACAGCCCAATAAAACTATTCCCATTTAAATCAGAAAGAGCTTTCATCTACACAGAATATAGATGTTACATTTTCATTCCACCATCTTACTGTCAGAGGAAGATGGACCAGAGCTGTTCCCAGGAAGGTGAAAGACAACAGGGGAGCAGTGATCTGGAAGGAAGGCAGCCATGGAAAGGCACAACGAGCACAGCCCCCCAGGGTAAGTGGCTGTGGACAGCTCTGGACAGTAGAGGCTGTTCTTGTCAGTGGAATATCTATGTCCTCCAAACTGCTAGTTATTTTCTTTAGGTGGGGTAAGTGGTAATATAAATTCTTATATTTCCCACTCCCTGTGAACATAAGGCGGCAAGCAAGGCAGGGAGAGCATCCGGTAGTCTGAGAGCAGCGCTCTGGCTAAGGCAGGTGAGCATGGCTGTCCTGAGCTGCCATGCAGGAGCCTGTATACGTGCAAATACAGGGATGAGGGGGTGTAGGCAAAACAGTGTCTGCTATAGTGGCCGAACAGAGATCCCAAGGAACATGAAAGAGACATATCTGTGCCAGGGTGGGCAGGCAAGAATGACCTGGCAGCTCTGGGAGGAGCCAACAGGGAGGGACCTATGTCAACCTGGGAGAAACAGGTGTGCTGGAGAGAGCCATAGGCTGGTAGGGGATTTAAATGATCTCCGGAAAGTCTGAGGGCAGTGGGGCTCAAGTAAACAGAGTGTGGGGTTGAAGGAAGCCTCCATACAAAGAGCTTTGTGGGTTTATTCTCATTTTAAAGTAAAAGTTAGTGAGGCTGGGCAAGGTGGCTCACACCTGTAATCCTAGCACTTTGGGAGGCTGAGGCAGGTGGATTTCTTGAGCTCAGGAGGTGAGACCAGCCTGAGTAAGAGCAAGACTCTTGTCTCTATCAAATACAGAAAAAAAACTAGCCAGGCATTGTGGTGGGCACCTATAGTCCCAGCTACTCAGGAGGCTGAGGCAAGAGGATCGCTTGAGACCAAGAGTTTCAGATTACTGTGAAGATGATGCCACAGCACTCCACCTAGGGTCACAGAGTAAGACTCTCTCTCAAAAAAAAAAAAAAAAAAAAAAAAAAGCCTTACATCCATAGTAATGTAATTGTACAGAATTTAACATTTTAAGATAGTTGATAACTACATGATTTGTAACTAGAAACTGATTTAAGCTTGACAAAAGCCAATCCCCTAGAAGAAAAGCTCTTTAAAAAGCCAGAAGTGCCCAGGCGCAGTGGCTCACACCTCTAATCCTAGCACTCTGGGAGGCCAAGGCAGGTCGATTGCCTGAG